CCACCTCCTCGCTGCTCCTGGAGGTGGGACAGTGACTAACCCCCATGGCCCCTGCCCCGGAGGGGGTGGTGACCCTCAGCACCAGCTCTGAGCACCAGCCTCCTGCACAGGACCCAGCTGCTGAGGCTTCACACCTCAGGCCCCTGAACCCTCGCTCTAACCCCTTTTCCAGGTGCCCAGGTTTGGTTTCTAGCATCAGAGCTGGCCCCTGCTCCTCCCACCACCCATGTGCTGCTTGCTGAGCCACAGGGGCAGGGTTTCCAAGCTCCCACTTTCTCCACTTTGAGGTGTATTCCTCTTGTTCCTCTGGGACTCGCTCAGTCCTGGTTTCAGGCACAATTTGCAGGAGGAGGTGATGGGAAGTGATAATGGCAGGAGCTGAAGAATGAGCTGGGGAGACCCCTGCAAGGCTCATCCCTTGCTCCAGTCAGTCTGGAGCAGGTTGAATCCTTCTTCACACTTCTTGAAGCCCATAGGTGGTGGGTTTGGGTATCCTCGGGACACGGCCAGGCTGTGCCATGGATCTGCCTCACGTGCATCTTCTCAGAGTGAGCAATGCCTCCTGAAGACAGCAGGATTTAGGTAGGAAGATGGATGTTTTCCAAGCAGAAGCCTGCTGGGAATGGGGGGTTTGATGGCTCCTGGAGCACCACCAGCAGCCCTGAGCACCCAGTGCCAAGCAGTGCTGGCATTAGGTCCACACCAGCCTCGCCTGTGGGACAGCCCCAGCTCTCTGGCAGGGGGGCTGTATTCCCCAGCTTTATTTACTGCTTCATTTAAACAGGCAGAGTGTTGGAAAGCCGTGGCTGCACGTTGCCTCTTGTCCTGAGGTTTGGTTTTGATGTGGCCAGGAGGAAAGCTGTGATGCTGTTTGCCCTTGGTTGCCTTCTCTTTGCACCTCCGGGAAGGAGAAGGGAGGCAGAGTATTGATTATTCCTCAGTCACTCTGAAATAAAACACATGATGCTCACAAGGGGTAAAGCCTTCAGAGAGCAGGAACAGGCCGAGGTGACACAACCTCTCCTGCCATTGGCACTGCAAACTGAATATAAAATAAGATGGCACTTGCCAGGGCTGCTGTGTTTCATAAGACTGTTCATTTGCTGTGGGCAAGGAGGAACTTCTGCCTCACCAGAAGCACTGCAGAGCCTGTGTCCTCTCTGGCACGGTCACTGAAACCACTGGGAGTGAAGGGCAGTGTCCTCAGTGGGACCCAGGAGCTCACAGCTTCCTTTCCCAATCCATGGGTGAAGAAGAGGCAGAGCTGAGTGTCCATGGGCCATCCTCTCCTCGGCTTGACTGCACGTTTCTGCATCACGTGTAGATCTGGCTGTTGGCAAAGCAGCTTGCAGGGTGACAAGATGCTCCCCTCGAGTGGAACAAGCTGCAGCTTAACCCTGTACCTGGAGCACAACGTGCCTGTCTTCATCTCTGCGGCCAGATGGGCATCAGCTGGACTGGGACCCTGCCAGCTCAAGAGAGGCCCCAAGATTTGGATACCTAAGATTTGGAGCACGGCATGTCCTATCTCCATAGCATCTGCCATGGCTGCTGCCCATCACCCAGCTCTTCCCCAGCACTTCAGTTAGGACCAGGAGTTCCACTGGAGAACCAGCTGGAGCGACGGAAACACCAAAAAAACCATCCACCCCTCTTCAAAACCAACAGAAAACTCCAAAACTTAACAACTCCAGAGCTTATTTTTAGCCCTGAAGAAGCAGCTTTGAAACCCCAAACCCCATAACTCCCCCTGAGTGATAGGGGAGGCGTGGGGCGAGTGGCCACTGGTGGTCTATGGCCAGCATCACCCCCCAGCAGCCCCACAGCCAGCTGCCCGAGCAGGGAGCCCGGGCAACCTCGGGACTGTTTATAGTGAGGTAGAAATGAACCCATTTTTTGTGTCTTTACACCTTTTGCAGAGAGCTGCTCTTACAGGGAAATATTTTGGGAATCCTGGGAGGCAGAAGGAGCCATGTTTGGGGTTGGAAGGCTGGGAAGGGGCTCGGTGGCCCTGCTGGAGCTCCCTGGGGGCAGGGACCATGCGGGTGCCAGGCTGGGAAGAAGCCACCAGCCAGGAACTGCCTCCCCTTGCATAACTGCTGCATTTTTTTCCCCCTCAGTAATCTACTGCTCACTGCCACCCCGGGGGGGGGAGCGGCCTCTGTGGATGGAATCAGGAAAGTAAATATGGTAAAAAAATCTGGGCAGCTTCCCTAGGGAAAAAATCTGAGTCATTCTTCTAAATGACACGGGAATCTTTCTGTCCCCTGGTTAAGGCTGTGCCCCAAAGCCTTGTCCCTGTGAGTTCTGCTGGAAGGTCCGGGCAGGTCCATCAGAGCTGGTGGCATCCCAGGGCCACAGCCTTGTGCACAGCCTGGCAGCCAAACCTGCTGACCAGCCCTGACACGCTCCTCTGCCTGCCTCTGCCTGACCCAGGGCAGCTCCTGCCTCCTGTGCAGATGGCCTGAGCAAAACGAGGTCCCCCAAAAGCCCCAGCCCTGCAGAGTGGCTGGTGTGAGGCCAGGCAGCCCCTGCCAGCAGCACACCCTCCTGCCCTCGGGCGCTGGGCTGCAAATCCCTTGAGCTTCCTCCTAAACCAGCTCCTCTGACACCCTTATCTCTGACCCCCTGCCTGTGGGCTTCGTGCTGTAGCTGACCCAATCCAACTGGAAGGTAAACAAACTGGGGAGCTGGGGGAAGAAACGAGCCACTGCCCTGCAGAGATGCCACGTCTCTATTTCCTAGACTTCTCCCAGGGTGCCACTGAAACGTGTCCCTCACCGCCAGGAGGGTTCATCCCTTTGCTTATGGTTAGACAGGACCAACCACACTGTTTAGCCTGCTTGGATGGAGAAGGATGATGGAAAAAACCCAACGTGCTGGTTTGAAGCAAAGAAAACAGCCATACCCGGGAGGCAGAGCCCTTGGCAGCCACCAGTGCCAGCTCCTTGACCCGACAAGTGCCTCCTGAGGGTCAGCACCCTCCTGCTGCAGCCAGCACTGCAGGGAGCCCCAGCACAGCCCCTGGCATCTCCCCTCTCCCACCGAGCTCTGTTTGCACTGGGCAAAACCAAACCCATGAGGAGAAACCAGAGGTGGGCAGGGCAAGTCTCTTTTCATCCTCCACACTCCCCAGAGGGTATTTTGGTAGGGGTCTGGGTTGGGTCTGGGGAGGCAGGTGGCACCTCCCTGTGCCTGGCTGCTCCATCCCAGCTGTGTTAAAGCCCCACAGGATCAGCCCCCAGCTCCTGGTTTCCTTCACAGCTGGATCTTGGCACTCTCAGTGCAAACTGAACTTTGCTTTCCCTTTATCAGGGCTGGTGACTCCGTACGTGGCTCGGCCGGCGTTAGTGAGAAGCTGACTCTGTCCTCTCCTGGGTGGACTAAGTGACCTCTTGGTTGGAGTTTTAGGACGTGGTTTGGGTCCCAGCCATGGAGGTCTCAAGGTTGGGGAAAGTGCTGCTCAAGTGGGGAGATGTTTTAGGGCTTGGGAGGCTCCTTTGGCTCCAGCTGCCAAGAAAGGGCTGGGTTCAACCTTGGTTTTAGGAGGTGATGGGCAGGACGCTGCTGGATGGCCTCGTTGCATCCCTGCTCACTGGGCTCAGGCTGTGAATCTGCTCATGGAGACAAGCAGGGATTTTTTTTTTTTCCCTGCCTGGGACCTCTGCCTTCAGGAAGAAAGCATGTCAGAGAGTAATGAGTCTTCTCTGGAGCCTTGCTGGACAAGACTCTTGTTCTCCTGGGCTCTCTGGACACCTCACTGAGCAGTCGAGACCCAAGTTCATGGAATCATAGAATCACCAAGGCTGGAAAAGACCTCTAAGACCATCAAGATCATCACCCAACACTGCTATGACCACTAAACCATGCCCTGGAGTGCCACATCTACACAGTTTTTGAACCCCTCCAGGGATAGTGACTCCACCACCTCCCTGGGCAGCCTGTCCACGTTACCTGCTGCCACATCAGGTCTTCTCCCCAGGTGTGGCCTGGAGCCTGCAGTCCCTCCAGGAAGCACTTCATCCATCATGTGGGCCAGCTCTTGTGTTGCTGAAGACATGGCTTAGCCCTAGGTGTGCCCTGACACCTCTCCTGGTTCTGATGGGGTGAGGAGAAGCCAACAGAGTCCCTCCCGTTCCTGCCTGATGCTGCTTTCCCAGGGCTTTGCAGAGGGATGAAGGCAGCACACTTATTGAGACCTTTGCCCAGCTCAGTCATCACTCCCTGCCTCAGTTTCCCCTCGGGCAGCACCCAGAGTCCTCATCCACCCCATGCACCCAGCTGTGCTTCCCAGCACCCACCACAGCCTCTGGGGGGTCTTCCTCCCAGGGCTCCTCCTCCTCCTCACCTGGTGACGTTCTCCTGCAGGCGACACAGGCTCTACCGGGAGGAGCTGAACCTCACCTCGCCGGTGGCACCGCTGCCGCTCCGCCCAGAGGCCAGCTGGCTGCAGTTCCACCTGGGCATCAGCCGGGACGGGCTCTACCCCCGCTCCAGCCCCACCGTCAACAGGCTGCTCCGGGACATGCAGGAGTTCACCACTATCAGTGCTGGTAAGCAGCCTCCCGCTGCCAGGAGGGGATGGAGTAGGTTGGGATGAAGCTGGGGGGCTCCATCTCCCCCCGGTCGCTTTTGCAAACAGGGCAGGGGGTGCCTATTTTCTGGTGCCAGTCATGCCAGGGACCCGTGGCATGGCACCGGGGCTGCCAGGGTGGGGCTGGCAGTGCCCCCCACATGCCTCGTGCTGGGAGGGGGGTCAGCAGCAAGAGATGGAGCCCGGTGGGCTCTGACCACTGCCCCTGCCCTTGCAGACTACAGCCAGGATGAGAAGGCACTGCTGGGAGCCTGCGACTGCAGCCAGGGTGAGTGTGGCACCGGGGACCCCCATCCCCCCTGCACCACGGCGGGTTGGGTGCCCTGGTCCCAGTGCCCTTCTCCCTCCAGCTCACCCCCACCGCCCCAGCAGAGCCTGGGATGTGGTGCCAGCACACCAGTACACCACCAGTTTCTACTGGGGGAGAGGAAAAGCTCCCCACGAGGATGTAACCACTGGGGGTTGGGAGGAGTGCTGGAGGGAAGTCTCCTCCGTGGCATGGGGGAGAGGGAGAGAGGGCAAATAACTGCAGCAGCAGAGGGGAGCAGCTGGAAGGTTGGATGAGATGATCTCCAGAGGTCCCTTCCAACATCCCCTTTCCTCCCCCAGTCGTGAAGCCCAGCGGCGTGCACCTGAAACTGGTCCTCAGGTTCCAGGATTTTGGCAAAGCCATGTTCAAACCCATGAGGTAAGGCCAGAAAATGAAATGAAACGAGCTGTGTTTGCCTCTCAGGGATCAGAGAGCATCAGACCTGAGCTCTGCCTCCCACAGGGATGTGAGAAGTGCATCATTGCCTCTTGCATCTCCTGATGCTCTGCCCACCCAAAACACTGTCCTCAGTGGGTCTAAACTCTGGCCCAAAAGGTTTTAAGTCAGCCCTTCTGCATCCCTCACCCCCGCAGCACCAGGACAGGGTGCAAGAGCTGCTCCCCAGCACCGTGGGCCATGCTCCAGGGGGCCCTGGCATGAGCGTGGCCACACCACGGCCAGCCCCGAGCCCAGGGGCTGGCCCAGGGGCCATGCCAGGCTGGTTAACTCCCCCAACCCCCCCAGGCAGAAACGTGAGGAGGAGACTCCAGAGGACTTCTTCTACTTCGTCGACTTCCAGCGGCACAACGCGGAGATCGCCGCCTTCCACCTGGACAGGTAGGGACCTGCCCTGGCACCCAGTCCTCTGCCCTGGCACCCAGTCCTCTGCCCACACAGAGCTGGGCACAGGACCAGCCCTGCTGAGCCCCCCCAGCTGCTCAGCCCTCGGGAAGCACCCTCTTTGCAGCACCCCTTGGAGAGCTGGGGGGTGGTTTTGGGGTGGGGTGGCCCCAGCTCCCATCTGAAGGCCAGGAGATGGCTTTACCATGAGCGCAGGCTGAAGCCCAGGCTGCAAACAGCCACACGCACGTGGTGCCTCCCAGAGATGAGCTCTGGGCTCAGCCTGGGTCCCCTCAAGCAGAGGGAGCCACACTTTCAGTCAGCAGTTGGGGAGTTTGGGTTGGGATCAAGGGCAGCGACGCAGCCTCAAGCCCCAGCGACCAGCAGTTAACCAGGAACCTCCTCCCAGCAGGGCTGGTGTGGAGTAAAATCAAAAATGCCCTTGTTAGAGAGGGCAGCAGCCTTCATCCCCTCCACAAGTACTGAACAGCAAGGGAAGGTGATCCCTGATGGTCATCTCAATGCTGATCAAGAGCTGAAGGGCCTCTGAGGGGCAAGAGGATGAGACCAGGCACTTGTCAGCAGTGCCCAGAAACAGGACAAGGGGCAATGGGCACAAATTGGAACCCAGGAGGTTCCACCTCAGCAGGAGGAAGAACATCCTTACTGTGAGGGTGCTGGAGCAAGCTGTGCAGAGAGGCTGTGGAGTCTCCTGCTCTGGAGAGATCCCAACCCCAGCTGGATGCCACCCTGGGCACCCTGCTGTGGGTGACCCCTGGAGCAGGGGGGTTGGAGGAGATGATCTCCAGAGGTCCCTTCCATCCCCACCACGCTGGGATCCTGGTGGTGGATGAGGGTTTCCAGCTCCAGCAGGTCTCAACTGCAAGTCCTGCAGCTCAGCCTCGGGGCGAGGGGCTGCAGCTGAATTCCCTTTCCAGCCCTGCCCCTGCATCACCCCAGTGACTCTGCTCGACCCAGCTCCCAGCAGCTTCCCCCTCTGCATCCCAGCTCCACCGCCAGGAAAAGGAGGCTGCACTGCTCTTCTGAAGTGCTTGGTGGTTTTCAGGGCTGAGAGATGCTGGATGAAAGCAAGCTGGGGTTTTATTGCCTTTAAAGATTGCTCAAGCAGTAACAAGCCCAGTCCTGCTCTCAGAGGCAGAGGACATCACAGCAGGAGCTGCTTCACCCCGTGCTGCTGACTCAGCAGCTGTGACACAGATGCCCTCCTGCCCCAGGCTCTGGCTTTTTTAGGACTATTTGAGCTGAATCAGCTGGGCCTGAGAGCCTCTGACTGGGACGATGCCTCCTCCCCTGCTGGCACCTCAGCCACGCCGTGCCAGGTCCAGCACATCTTTGCTCTGGATCAAACCCAGCGGTGTAGAAGGGCCTGAAGGGCTGTTCTGGCTCCTGAAGGTCCCAGCTTGCAGGGGTTGTTCCAGGCAGCACCTATTCCACTAGCAAAATCCAAACTCAGCCCCATTTTGGTGCAGAGCATAAAGTGATGCTGACTATCTGCTAGGAGGAAATAAATCCCTGTGGGTTTAGTCATCCAAAGGTATCCACTGATCAAAACCATGGAGCAGAACCAGCTCTCTTTACCCCAAACCAGGACACCAACAGAAGGGACGAGGGCAGCATCTGCCACCCCACGTCGCTGTCCTGGGCAGCAGAGCCCCCAGGCACCACGGGCTCTGAGCTGTTGTCCCTTCTGGGCAGGATCCTGGATTTTCGGAGGGTGCCACCCACCGTGGGGAGGCTGATCAATGTCACCAAGGACATCCTGGAGGTCACCAAGAATGAGGTCCTGCAGAGTGTCTTCTTCATCTCCCCAGGTGGGCGAGCTCCTGGCTGCCATGAGGGGGGAGATGTGGTGGTCCACACGGGTGGAAGGGCAGGGTCTGCAGGAGGAGGGGCTGCCTGGGTGAAACACACACAGACATGGCTCCAGGAAAGGTGTCCCTCAGCCTGGAATCATCTGCCAGGTGTATTCACCTGCCTTCTCCTAACCTTTCCCTTAGCATGGCACCAGGTTGGACCAAAATCCAGGAATTGTCCAGCAGTTGGCAGCTTCACATCCATGAAGTTGTTACCTATAGAATCACAGAATCATTTAGGTTGGAAGAGAGCTTTCAGATCATGGAGTCCAACCTTACCCCCAGGACTGCCAGGTCCCCACTGCCCCATGTCCCTCACACCACATCTCCACGGCTTGGGAACCCCTCCAGGGGTGGGGACTCCACCACTGCCCTGGACAACCCTCAAGGGGAAGAAATTGTTCCTTAGCTCCAACTTAAACCTTCCATGGGACAACTTGAGCCTGTTGTCCTGTCACTTGTTCCTTGGGAGAAGAGCCCGACCCCTACCTGGCTCCAACCTCCTGTCAAGAAGTTGAGAGTGAGAAGGTCTCCCCTGAGCCTCCTTTTCTGCAGACTAAACACCCCACATGCCATGATCTATGCAGCCACCATCAGATGATGGGGAAGGAGTCAATCCAGGCTGCTTTGTTGTCTCCTGCAGCTCACAGCTCCTCTCTCTCCTCCTCCCAGCCAGCAACGTGTGCTTCTTTGCCAAGTGCCCGTACATGTGCAAGACAGAGTATGCAGTGTGTGGGAACCCTCACCTCCTGGAAGGGTCCCTCTCTGCCTTCCTGCCCTCCCTCAACCTGGCACCACGACTCTCCATCCCAAACCCCTGGATCCGCTCCTACTCGTTTGATGGAAAAGAGGAGTAAGTGGGTCAAGGATGCAGCAGGGAGCAGGTGGGGAGGAGAATGAGTGGGGTGTGGGCACCCAGACCTATGTGCAGATATTCTATGTCCTGCCAGAGGAAGGCCAAGGCTCAGAGATTGCCCATAATTAGTCTAATAACTCTTAATGCCTGGGCATTGACCGGGTTTGACTCCCAGCCTGCTGCATGCACAGGGAAGGGGATTTAAGTCCTCCCTCCTCTCCATCTCCACCTGGGAGACCAGCTTTGGGGTGCTGTTGGGACACGACCACCGAGTGCATCTCCCCCTCCTCCTCCATCTCCTGCAGGTGGGAAGTGAATCCACTCTACTGCAACACAGTGAGGGAGATCTACCCCTACAGCAACGGCAACAGGCTGCTGAACATCGTGGACATGGCCATATTTGACTTCCTAATAGGTATGGTGGAGGGGGAAACAACATTCTGTCCTCCTGTGTGGGTCTTCAGCACCACTCTGTCTGCCCTCCCATGCTCCAGTGTTTCTCAAAGCCATCCCCTCAGCTCCAGAGGCTGTTTGGGGAGACTTCTATCAGCCCCCCAGCCAGCCAGCACACCCCCATGTCATGTGCAGGAAAGGGGGAGACCCAGGTCCACCCCAGCCCGCTCCCTGGGGGTCCAGCAAGGTGAAAGCAGCAGCTCTGAGTATCTCAGACCCTTCCAGCAAGGCAACGAGTATTTCATGCAGATCTGAAGGAACACATAGGATAGGTTGGGAAATTCCTTGGTCACGTGGAAGGGAAACCCTGTTCCTCTGTCTGCCCTTCACCAGGGAACATGGACAGACACCACTACGAGATGTTCACCAAGTTTGGGGACGATGGCTTCCTCCTACACCTGGACAACGCCAGAGGGTGAGGCTGGGGAGACTGGGCAGGGGGGAAGGTGGGGGGCAGGCACTAAAGCTCTGTCTCTCTGCCCACCCCCCAGGTTCGGGCGACATTCCCACGATGAAACCTCCATCCTGGCCCCACTCTTCCAGTGCTGCATGTAAGTGCCAGCTCCATCTTCCCTCCCCCAGTGCCAGGCACGGTGCTGCTCCACTAGAACGGACTGGCAGCACTTGGAAGCCAGTTGGCAGCAGTTTTGGAAGCCATCTAGGCCTGGCCCCATCCCTTAGCAGAGCTCCTGCTAATCCCAGCCCAGGGGACAGGCCAGACAGCAGGGCATGGGGGTCACCACCTGCCCCTGAAACAGGGATGGAGCTTCTGTACCAGCTGGAGTGTTCATTTCTGTTGCTCTGCAGCCTGCCCTGGTGTCACACAACTGTCCTGCCTGGATACTTTCCACTTTGATGGTCCCTTTCCATCAGAACACCCCAAATAATTGTAAACCCCAGGTGGGCTTCCCACATCCCCACAGATTGTGAGGCATACAGCAGAACCACCCTTCTCCAGCCATGCCATGCTCCTTGGGTGAGGTAGTTTGGGTGAGGGACCTCCAAGCCCTTCCCTCCCCACCACAGCACCAGTTCCCAGCCTGATCCCAGTTACCAGCTGCCTCACTCAGCACTGGGCAAGTGTGTGGATGGGCTCGAATGCCTGTCCAAGCCAAAAGGCCTTGCAAGTGTAAAAGCTGCCACTGACAGACCAGGAGACAGTGTCCATCAGGTCAAACCCTGCCAGAAGTGTCTACTAGCACTTCCCAGCCCATCAACATGAGGTATTACTGGTCCCATTCATCCATCTCAGAAATCTCCATCCAAAAGCCTGGTAGAACTTTGAGTCAATCAAGTTTCTTCTTCCCATGGCATTAAGGAGAAGCTCATGAATTTTACACTTGGAATCCTGCCTTCCCCCTTAATTAATCCACCTAAGTCATCAGCTGGAAGTTACATTTCAGAGACAAAGAAAGCTGCTCTTCCCTGTGGCTCCTCTTTAGGAGATGCCCAACCTAGTTCCTCGCTGACCCTGCTCCACCCCAGCCCCACACCTGCATCACTGGATGAACTGTTACTTGCACCCAGGCAATCTTCTCATTTATCATTTTGGGCTCACAGTGGATCCTTCTCTTGAACTCCTATTTTGTGCAGTAACTCTGCCTCTCAATCTGACCTGTACAAAGCAATATCCACAGGTCAGAGCTTTCCTGTCCTTCTGGGCCCACCTCCCAGAAGCTCTTCTAAAGGGAGTGATGAGAAGACCTACAAGCCCCACCTTGTAATAAGCCAGCTAGGGCTGAGAATGGTGTAAAAGCAGGAACAAAGTCCTCCAGAGAAAGCTGCTCCAGGCAGGAGGGACCAGCCACCCCACAGTGATGCTGGGCTCCACCTCTACCACACCTCTGAACTCCAACTACTGCTCACTTCCCCCTTAGACACGTCCATCTCCTTCCCAGCTGAGTTCTTCTCCAAGTTTGGCTCCCAGCAGATTTAAACCTGGTATTTTTAGCCACCTTTCACAGCTCCCACACCAGTCCTTGTCCCACATGTCCAAGTCTCCTGCTCTCCTCTCCCAGTGCTGCTCTGAGTACAGCAGAGAGCACAAGTCCAGCCATGCAGCAAGGGATGAGCCTTCTCCTGGAAGGGTCCAAGCCCTCAGCAAAGCACAGGGAGTTAACAGCACCCAGTTAACCTGGCACATGGACCTTCGTGGCTGATGAAGGCCCTAGAAGGCTCTGGGTCAAATCTTCAATGGTTCAGTAGCTCAGCAGGGTCACAGCTGCCCTGGGGGAGAGGAGCAGGGCTGGTGGCAGCATTTCCAGCCCGTGCTCCTTTCCATGTTTCTTGTGGAACTGTTACAGCAGCAAACAAACCACTGCCCACGCTCGGCTGATCCCATTCTCCACCTCTGAGCCCTGTCACCTTCTGTGGAGAAATTCCAAACCCACCTGGACACCATCCTGAGCAAGCTGCCTTAGGTGACCCTGCTGGAGCAGGGAGGTTGGACGAGGTGATCTCCAGAGGTCCCTTCCAACCTCTACCAGTCTGTGATACAAAGGCCAATCCTGGAGCTGGTCAAAATGTTTCTGGCTACACCTTTTTCTGTCTGAAAATTTTGGCTTAGCTCAGTAGGAGCAGCTCCATGAACACATACTGCTTTGTTTCCAAAATTCAAAGGGTGATAATTAAAACCACTGATTATTTCAGTATTTGAGATGCTCAAGTCAAAACACTTCTGCTGAGGATTAAACAAATGATTTCAGAATGCTTAGTTTCGTGTCCAGAAGCGTTCTGAGATGAGAGCTTTTCATCCCACTTTCTGTCAAAGGGAAATAAGACTCAAACCTCAGGACCTCTTAAGGTGAAAAGTCACAGTTAAATCAGTTCCAGGAAATATTCCCTCTTTTTGCTCCGAGTTTTGGCAAAAGGGCTTTTTTATCCTCATTCATGCCTCTTCATTTTACCTCCCCCCTAAAATGCCATCCCTGGGAACCAGCCACCACCCTGCAGCAACCTGAGAGACTGGGGTGTTGCCAGCTTGGAGAAAAACCACTCAGCACTGAGAACTTCCACCAAGGTTCTCTCTCCAATGACACATCTGCAGTCCAAATACTCTGCAGAAAAACAAAGTCAGGAGCAGAAGTTTTCATTTCCTGCAAAAAGGGAAGGATTTGGTTGCCAAGTTCTTCGTCCCCTACCTTCACCCCCCTCTGCCCTCGGGTTGGTGTGGGGGTGCTGCAGGAGGGGGGCACTGAGTTGTCCCATTTCTTGCTTTCCAGAATAAAGAGGACGACGTTGCTACGGCTGCAGCTCCTGGCCCAGCCCGAGTACCAGCTGAGTGATGTGATGAGGGAGTCCCTCCTGCAGGACCTCCTGGCACCCGTCCTCACCGAGCCCCACCTCCTGGCCCTGGACAGGCGCCTACAGCTCATCCTCAAGGCTGTCAGGAAATGCATAGACACCTATGGAGAGGCCAAGGTGGTGGCCAACGACACCAGGCAGCCCGAGGCTGACAGAGTGAAGCTGACCACTTAAAGAGTCCTCAAGTCCTGCTCAGAGGGAGGGGGAAACCCCTGTGAGTTTGGATAATCCATCATTGCCACCTACAAACCCTTGCAGAGGCTGGGAGGGGAAACTCTTCAGAAGATCTTCAAGAATCACGTTGAGCTTCTATGCTGGGTACTCAACCAGAGCTTCTGTGGTTGGCCAGCGTGTTGGGAAGCTGTGGTCTGGCTGGAGCAGACCTGTACCCCCTGAACACCAGCTCTGGGGTGGAGAAGCAGCAAATCTCCTGTTCTGTAGTTGGTCATGCCCATGGGAGGGTGGGGGATAGATGGCCATGGCTCTGCTCAACCTACACGGGATCTCAGTCTTGCTAGTGAAGGACACAAACTAGATCCAAGGATGAGGGTTGAATAAAGAGATTCCAAGAGCATTTGCCTCTTCTTGAGTCTCTGTTCTGTAACCCTGACTGTGTGCTGGAGAAAAAGAGCCATCTGGCTTCACTGGGGCAGTGCCTGCCCCTGAGAGGAGAGCAGCAGGTAGGTGTTGCCTTCGACCCCAAGGGAAGAAACCATCACAACCAAATAAAAACCCCAAAAAGGCAGGAAGCCCAGTCTGCTCAGAGGCATATGACTGTATTTACAATTCAACAAGCCACCCACTTCTGGTGAAAACATTTTGCCAAAGTGGGGTGAGAACCTATCTTGGGTCATCTTCTCATAGTTCTAAAATCACTCCAGTTGTCAGAATTCCCTGGGAAACAGGAGCAGTATCCTGCCTTGTGTGTTTGGAGAAGATGCAGTAGGAACTGGAGACATCATAGATCCTTCCATTTGCAGCTTTCAAGGCCTCCCAGTGACAAGGTTTAAGATTGACTCAATACTGAGGCTCTCTTTAATACCATAAAACTGTCCAAGGCCAATTGCCCTGAGCCTTTTGGCAGCCTAGGGAAGACAGTTGAGAACTTTGTTGATAATTTATCATCTTAAGGAAAAAACAACCCCAACCACCACATCCAATCTACTAGAAGCTCGTTCTAAACTAACCTTCAGGTGAAACAAAACCCACCCACAGCCCTGCAGACCTTGCAGAGAGTCCAAACCCAGGATCTCAGCAAGCTGCTGCACCTACCCCTGGCTCATTTTCCCATGGGCTGGAATCCTGCCCAACCTAAAGGGACCTTGGTGACACTGGCAGTCAGCACCTGGGTCATGCAAGGAAGGAACAAAGCTTGTTTGGCCCCTGGTCTTGGTTTTTACAGGAGACTGTGCTGACATTTCATTCAACTCCTCACTCATTCTACAACTGACTGCTGTCTCCAGGCTGTGGAACTACAGGAGTGACAGTAGCTGTAGTTTGAGTATGTCCCTACAGGTGCCTATTCTATTCCTTTGGGAGTTTGAGGAAGTCTGGAGTGTTTCTGCTTATAAAGGGATTCCTCCAATATTCTGAAACCACAAAGATTAGAAAAAAAATCCACACAAACCCAGCCAACAGCAAAAAAAAACAACCCCACACCACGTTCCTTCAGTCCCTCCCAGCTGGAGATTCAGCCACATCCTTCCACGTCCAGCTTCCACACAGGCAAGTCTCCATCAAACAGGCAGAGTTCTCCACCCTGGTGCACTTGCAGACCTTTTTTACTCTTGTAGAGAGAGAACAGAAGAAAATAAAGGGATTTAACTCACTTGCCATGCAGGAGGCTGTATTCCCAAAGCTGGATCTCCCTCTACCGGTGACTTTTGAGGTGCTCCCAACACGTGACAGCCCCAAAATTCATGTGGTGGGTGTCCTGGAGTGGTGACTGCTGGCTGCTCCCACAGGAAGGACATGGCAACAGAAGATAAGTGTAAAAAAAGTTGTAAGTTTGCAAGTTTTACAGCTTCATTTTAGGTAATAAAAGTTTTCAGGCCTTTTATTCCCCTTTGTCAAGGGGATGTGGGAAGCCCAGGCAAAGGAAACAAACCCACAGATATTTAGACAGCTAGGACACTGACAGGGTTGCAAGGATGCTTCTTTTTGGGTTTTTTTTTTAGAGTAGTTTTAATGTATCTTCAAAGTTGGGTGACAGCTTTCTCAGAACTGGGTGCAAAACATGTCCAGGCTGAGCTGCTTCAGGTCACTTCTCAAATTTTTCCTCCTTCATCACAGTGTGAAAATTCCCCTCTTCTATTTCTGTCTGTGCACCAGAAATCTTTCATGGCCAATCATCACATGGTCAAAACTTTCACTAGGGTACACTCAGATGGGAGCAGACAACCTGCAGAAGCTTATGAGCTCCAACAGTCGTGGCTGGGCCAGGAATTAACCACTTGAACAAGAGATCAAAGCCATGTGAGTTGCCAAGGGACACTCAAGGAAGAGGCAGGGACCTTCTCACTCCAAAAAAAACCCTTGTGCCCCCGAGGCCAGAACTCCAGAGAAGTTCCTGGGCCACAGGCATAGGCTGAGCTGAACTCCAGAGTGAGCATAAAACTAATCCATTAAGCTTCTTATTTTTACCACCTCATTAATAACACATCCTCTAAGGGGAAAAAAAACCACAATGTAGGGATGGGGGGGGTAAAAAAAAAGAAGAGACTGATTGCATTTAAGAATTTAAATCACTTTATTGCTTTACCTGCCATTAGGACAATCTATAACAAAAGGAATATAATATAATATATTAGCACATACAGTAAATCAGACTTATATAGTCAGGTAACAATACAAAAATGGTCCTCTGGTTGACTATAGCTTTCTAGGGCAATAGACTCATTTCATCAATTTGCTAAAGGTGGACTAGCAAAGAATTACTTCTAAAGCCCTGAATGTTAGCTAAGGCAAAACTATGCCAATTGTGGTTTCAAACATATTGAAATTGCACACAAAGGTAAAGCTATAACTGTTGAATAATATTTAACTCAGACTTAGCTGATTTATCTTAAAATCTTGTAGGTAAAACTACAAAAGGGAGTAAACAGCAAGCTAAAAAGATGCAGTAGTGAAACTTGATTAGAAAGCTTTATATAAAAAAAATGTGCATTTTTTTCTTTTTGTGGAGCTCTAACTAGTTTACACAGTTTTTGGTGCTTTAAAGGAACACAAAGAACACATAGGAAGAAAAAAAAAAAACAAAACCCTGGATAATCAAAGCTTAAAACAGTTTTACCAAAAAAATAAAACCCAAAGAACCAAAAAAAAAAAAAGGTAGCATTTGCTTACTCCTTAAGGACTCTGGCAGAAATCCTCTACTCAACATCTGAGCAGAGAACTCAAACCACAAGGGGTTATATCCCATTAGTGGGAGTTCAGGATGAGAAACACCCTGAAAGCTTTTGTAAAGGCTGGATACCCTCCTCAGCACTATTCTGCATCCATCAACAGACTCTTCCCAATTCTCCACACGCCTGGGAGAAGGTCTGTTGGGTGTGAAGCCATGATCACCTCAGAAAGGAACTAAAAGGAGGGGCTCCATCATTAGTTGCACAACAAATGCAGAGCTGCTTGCTGTCACTCCCAAATACAAACCTACACTACTTCATAGAAACTACAGTTGAAAGGAAACCTTAAAAATTGCCTACCATTATTGAACTGTGGAATCCAGTAAAAACTTTGGGGGGGGGGGAGTGTTGGTGAGCACAGAGTGATGGGACACAAAGCCTGTCAATACTGAAATACATTTTCAAGACTCTGCAACATATTGAGCTTGGAAAAGAGTGTGGGGTACGTGTCGTGTCAATTCCAGAAGCAAGGGAAGAGAATGCACCTTTTACATTTCCATTAGGTTTCTAATTAACCATTTTTAAACTTATTGAGTGGTTTAAAAACCTTACAAGAACTGAGTTGAAAAACTTCACTTTTTCTGCCTCACTTTCTTTACACACCAAGTCTAATGGCATCAGGACAGACCCAGCAATCTCACCACCTGCCACAGGCACTGCCATAAATACTCAATGTTTATTTTCCCTGGTAACAAAGGGGTGCCTGAACTGATATATTTTTCTTTTTTAAAAGTCAACTGAGGGATACAAAGCAAGTCTGGGGAAAATAAAACGTTTGCTTCCAATTTCTACACCAATCTAAGAGCTCAAAGGTTACAGACAGCTGGAGAGCTAACACCACTCTTACACCCATTTTAGGTACTACAGACCAAAGTTGGGTGTTTAATGTCACATTTGGTTCTTGCCACTTTGCCCAGGAACAGTTTGAAATATCCTGTCACTGAAGAAAGAACAAGGAAAACAATTTTTAAAAAAGATCAGTTGCAGCAAGTCAGCAAATGAAGTCACATCTGCAGTAGTTCACCAGAACTATTAAACCTTGGAAGCTTTGACACTTGACAAAAACATAACTAAGCCATCTTAAACCAGCAGACACAGGAACAACTATACTGTTAAATTCCAACTGTGGCTTTCCCAGCAGCTGATGCCTCACGATTGAACCCAGGAAAACAATACCCAGAAAATTAAAAAAAAAAGAAAAGAAAACCCCAAGCCCCAAGAAGCTCAATTACAAGGGCAGTTCCCATTTCAAAAGAAATACAGCAGATTACAACCACAGCCTTAAAATCTGTCCAACAATTCGAGTAACATCTTTAAAGTCATTTTTTTTTCCTCCTTTCTACTGTCACCTCCTTCCTCTATGGCAACAGCATGGTGCCACATCTCCCCCTCACTGAAGCAAGGCTGCATTTGCCTGAGTTGGACACTGTGGCACAGAGAGAAGCCAGAAGAGCATAAATCTCCAATACAACTTTTTCTATCCATGTCATGGGACAGAGAGCACAGAACTAATATGCTCCAACTTAAAAATAATGCCATGAGAAGCAATTTTTTTTTTAATTATTTTTGTTTTAAACAGACAGGAAGCTGCAAATGCCAGTGGCGACAGTGAAGCAGGCTCTGGAGGGGGAGGAAGGTTTCAGACAGACAGTGATACAAAACTGTTGTACTGCTGGATGTTTCTCTTGAGGATGTCTGAGCAGGGGCCCAGGACACGTTCAAAGCGGGGCCGATCCAGCTTCACACATTTCAACAGGCCACGGGCGACCACGGTGGCAGCACGGGGACGGTTCATCAGCAGAGCTATCTCACCTACAGCAAGAGGAGAGTGCACACAGCATTACAAAACTGCCACAAAGAGCCAGAGAAATCACCCTCTTTACTTCAAATTGCTGCAGGAACCGGACAGAAGGGAAGGCAGGTTTTGACAGTGATCAGAACAAGTGTCTGCGTGGTTATATTAGAGGCAACTGTGAAGGCAGTTTAGAAAAAAAGCTATTTGATGGTTTATTTTTTTTATCAAAAATCCTCTCCACGCTCAGGTGCCTCTGAAGAAGAATTTTCAGCATCGTTTTATTTGAGGTCATGTTTCTATTAACTTTTCCTAGTCAACAAGTAGTTATTGTTCTACGACGTCAGGCATGCTGCTGTTCAGTTCTGAAAGTTCAAAGACATTCAGAACAAGGAGACCACAGTATCAAAGTGAAAAAAAAACCCACCACATTAACACACAAATCAGAAGCCTGTGGCCCACAGCCCAGACCCCAGACTGTGACTCTGCCATGGGGCTGGGGAAAATCAGCATCTTAAAGTCCCACTGGATTCCATTTCAGACGTTAGACACAAAGATGCCAAAAGCTGTTTCAAATACCTGCAACAAGCTGCACAACCTGTTTGGAAATGAGGTCTCCAACAAGCCCTTGCTTCCGTGGGTGACAACAGCCACCCCAATAATCCAGCACCAAGTGTGAAAGAAGCCACTGCATCAGCTTTTGGGTTTGTTTTTAAGCAGCTGAGCTGGTGATCTCCATGCTCAGGACTCAGGAAAGAACTCGGTGCTCCTCAGAGAATACATTTGTCTGAATTATCAGAAGGCATGTTCAACAGAAATGAGAAAAACTTTTTCCTCTGTGCCCAATTAAAACTCTTGAACTCCCTAGCCTCCAAAATACAGGCTTGCAAAAGAGTGAGTTGGTTCTAAGGGAGAGTTAAACCCCCCAGGGAGAATTCTGCAGCACTTGAACACAATGGCAGAGATAACGTTTAGTTTAAGAGTGAAACTCAAGAGCACACACAGAGGGAAACAGGAGGAGACTGAAAGGACACACACAGAACAAAAATCTACTACTAGATGCTGAGCTAAGCAGACCTTTGGTCAGATCCAGTACTACCCACTTCAGGCCTTGCAACAGAGTATTTGCTGATCACATCATCTACAAAGCTGAAAAACTGGACAGCCAGAAGACTCCAGCAAGAGAGCTGCTCAGAAAGAGTCCTAAGGAGAGAGGCTCTACCTTAAATGTGAATAAAGCAGTTAGGGGTGTTGGTTTGGGTTTGGCTTTTTTTTTGAGAGAGAGAGGGGAAAGTATTTAGACATTAAATAGATTCTGAACAGGTTGCTTGCTTGCTTTCAGAACTGCAAGCCACTTATCTTTTAAACCCAAAGTAAGGCTGCCAGGAGTATTTTTTATGCTGTTACATAGCACTCAAGAATGCTCCATGAACATAAACATCCAGTCCTTATCTGTGAGCCAAAATAAACCAATGTGCTCTAGACAAGTGATTAGTTCCACGTGAAGATGATTTCAAAGTCTTTTTGAGGACAAACAGGATCTTTGCCTTTTTCTTTGCCAGCACACTCATGTTTTTTTCAACCCAATACACCACATGACTTTTAGCTGAGGAAAAACTTCAACAGAAGGAGAAAAGCCTCTGCTCTGCAGGTGGGAGTTGACAGACAGTACCACACAGTTTCAGGGTCCCCAGTGCAAGATGCTGACAATGCCAACTGAGTCCAGCAGAGCCACCCAGACATGTGTGGGATGGCAGCACAAGATGTACAAAGAGATGCTGAGTGAGCCTGACCTGGAGACAAGGAGGCTGAAGAGAGAATCTTACTGCTGTCTTCAACTATATGAGTGATTATGAAGACAAAACCAGACTGCTCTCCACACAGTGAAAGGCAGAGAAAAAGCAACAAGTTGCAGAGCAGGAAATTCTTGTCAGGCATAAAATAAAAACAACAAAAAAATTACCATAAGGCTGGTTAAGCAGCAAAAGAAATTGCCCAGAGAGGTTGTGGGAGACACACTCAAGAGACTCAACTGGACACAGCCCTGAGCAGCATGATGCTATTTCCAACTTAGCTCTGCTCAGGGTGGTCAGACCAAATCACCACCAGCCCCTTCTAACTCAAACTACTCCAGGATGATCCCATTTCCATCACATGCCTGTGCACCTGAAGGCCAAGGGACTCTGATACTCACCTGACACTGGGGGACACCCCAGGAGTCAGCCAAAACAGTACTTGACCAAATCCATCCCATCACTACCATCCACAGCAGCCACCAGCAACACAGGGGAGGTGCTGACCCTGGTGTATGTCATCACAGTTGTCACTACATAACTCACCAAAATAATCAGAAGGTCCCAGTCTGCCTACTTCAACAAATTCTTCATTTTCTGACCGACGCTGTAACACTGCAGCTGTGCCCTTCAATAAATCACAGCAATTAAACAATTGGAGTTTCCAGCATCACTTGAAACATTGAATCCCACAAGGCATCAGCTGCTTTGCAGAAAGAACTGTTGTAATGTCTCAGTCTCAAAAGAAAAAAACAAGACAAAACACTTCACAGTCCTTGTATAGTTCACCAGACTGCTCTACAAAAGCAGCTGGTCCTCCCTCCCCTCCAAACATAAAATGTTTTGGGTACTGATGTATCCACAGCACGGATTTCTTCCTGTTTCTCCCTGTAACACTAGCAACAGTACAGTATGATTAGCAAAAAACTAAACCCAACCCAGACAGAAGACAGTGATACCACTGGTGAGACATTTCCAGCTATCTAGAACAGGCCTCTACTCCTCTGAAAAAGATAAACTGGTTTCAGCCAGGAACTTGTTACTTTTTTCCTGGAACTATTATTTGTAAAAATAAAATTCAATATAAGCTTCTGCATGTCCAGCAAGATCACATTTCTTTAGGAAAGCTCTACGAGTACATACTTGCATTTGGTTTTTCTCCATAGGTCTATTCAGGGGCAGAATAAGCCATGTTAAAAAAAAAAAAAAAGGTTCTGATCTTTTAATTTTGACCTTGCTTACCTCCAAGATAATGAAGAACTCATCTCCTGGCTCTCCCTGGACCACAATCTTTTGGCCATCCTCAAACTGTACAGGTTCCAATGCATCAGCTACAGTGAGACGCTCCCACTTGTCCAGAGATTCTGTAGAGTTAATGTTTCATTAACAGAGTATCTTTTCAAGGCACAAATTATACTTTTTGCTCTGTTTTTATACAGAGGTCAATCTATTTGTGGCTACATTTGTGTATCAGCTATCAAGACTCGAATTAGAATTATTTTGGAATGATGCAGAGCAGCAGCACAGGCTTTGGAGTCAGTTTTGGCAGTTCATCACAATTGCCTTTAATCATAATAATTCCATGGAACAGCTTTATTACAATATGACAATTTATTCCATTTCAAAACAAAGGTCTTCTCACTTACCCAATATAGATACTTTACTAAGGAATTCCTCATACATCTTTCTCTTTCTCAAAGTGCTCCCCTACAAAAAGAAAAGCACACAGTGAGTTTTGTTTCTACTTCACATTTTACATCAAATAGAACTCAAGACAAACACTAATTTTACCAGACACACCACATTCCATCTCACAGACCCCAAACCCACAAGATTGTTTTCAAATTTAATTATTTCAGTAACATTTCAGAGTTCAGCAACCTCCATAAACGACTTAGCATTTATCACAGCTTTAATGTTTCTTAAATGCACTCTAACTGTAAAACCTTCCCAAAATCCACAACATCTGCTCGAGTTAGTTTCAACTGTTGTTCCCACACTCCACTTACAAATAACAAGCTACATGCAGAGCAGAATCAAAGTATCTGAGAAGTTAATCAGCAGATACAACATTTTGAGTCCAGTTCAATACTGCACTGGTATTTTGTTCACTAATGCAAGACTCCCCACAGCCCCACGCCTGCTCAAAGTAAGCTGAGTGGTCAGTTTCCCAACTACAAAACAGAGAGCAGGGTTACAGAAGAGATCACAGCATTTTGAAGAAATAACTCCAGGAAATGACAGGCACAGATAGGAGGTTAAATGATCAGGATCAGTGAAGAGTAAAACTGAAAGCGGGTTTTACAAGCTCCGGTGGTGCACACAGCTACTGGAGTCAACAGCAGGAGCCACAGAGGAGCCAGAGAGGTACTTGCCATCAGGATCCTCCTATAGCTGTCTCTGTCAATGCCCCACAGCTTCACGTTGGTCTTCGCTTTGACCGTGGCAGCACGGGGGGTTCCATAGATAAGGGCAAGCTCCCCAAAGCTCCCACCCTCACCGACGCTGGTCGCCCACTCGTTGTTCACATAGACCTGAAAGGCAGCAGTGCATGGAGGTGAGCCAAGGCCCACCTGGCCTGTCAGCTGGTCAGGGACAACATGAAGCTCCTGCCACCCTGTATGTCCTTTAGAGCAAAGAGAAATTCCCCTGTCATCAACAAAGGGACTCTCTTCCACATGACATGCACAAAGATTACACACGTAGACTCCTGAGATCCTTTGATAGGAAATAAATTCTCAGCAAAGCCTCTGTCACAGAGAGCTATGGAATAGTTGGACTGGAAAATAAAACACCTGGTCATTCTTAAAGCCTGTCCCACACCTCAGACTCTACCCTGCCCTTGTAAAGTGCTCATCTTGTGTTGGTGTCCAAATCATTCATCTCGAAACTCAACCCAACCCACGGTCTGTGCAGCCAGACTGAGCCACTAAGGGGCAAAGAGGCTCCAAAGGAAAATAAACTTCTACAGGTAAGAACTTGTTACAAAAAAAAGCTCCTAAAGGAATGACCTGTAGAAGAGGTCTACAAATATGAGACTGTTACTTTGCTAGTAGTGAATACATCATTAATCAACGACCAATAATGCTTACATCCATTTCTCCTTGATCAACAACATAGAAGTTATCTCCTTCATCACCTAAAGAAGAAAAAAAACAATTGAGTACATGCTAAAAGAGTAAAGCTATGCAAACATTCCTGTTTCACAGAACCAGCAACTCTGCTAGCTGATGTTTAGAATCTAATAAAGACTTTTTTCACAGCTTGCAGGGTGAAATTTTCTATTTTGCCAATTTTGTGTTCCTCTCAATCCCATCAAAGAGGACATCTGCTGGTATGAGGGAGATCAGCAGCATTCCCAGGATTACTGGAAAGGTGTACTGGGTCCATGAACTGACAACATGTGTTCTACAGAGCCATCAAATGCCAGCTTTGCCAAGAGCTAACTTATGGAACAAAACCACATCTCCCTACAATGGCTCCACTCCTCACTTTCACCTGAGCTGTGCCTCAGGTAACACAGCAAGGAAGGGTCACTGCACCCAGACAACATTTTGATTTAATAAAAAAAGAAACAAAACCCAAGCTACCAAGTGCAGTGTGCCAGTCTGCTCCCCATCTCCAGCTTTTCAGCACAAAGATGGACACTTGCCTTGCTGTATGACAGTCTCTCCTGCGATGTACGTGACGGGGAACATGGCATCGAAGATGTCACTGAAGAGAGGGAAACCAAAGTGAGACAACTGCCACGCCTGCATCCAGACAGCCAAACCTCCAACCCATCAGGATTTGCCCCACAGCCTTCGTGCAGTCACAGTGGCAGCTGTGAGGAGCCTGTGCAGCCTTGTATGCTACGATACATTCAACTCTTCTCAAGCCTGCACTTGAAGACACTTCAAGACCACAAAGATTTATTCCTACCTTCTTTCGTTATCATCCAGATGGGCAAACAGCACATTCTTCTCAATAGCTTTGGCCAAAGCAGCCATAGTCTTATAATCTTTTGGAATAACCTAGGATAGAATCAGAAAAAGCAACTCATTAACTTCTTTGAAGAAAAATCTCTGCACTCCCCTGGGTAAATAATTTCTACAAAACACCGGCTGAGGGTTTGGTTTTTTTAATAGATCTAAACCCAAACATAGTCAATGTTCACAGCCAGTTTATGCAGAAGGTAAATAAAATCCTGTATTATTTTAGAGAACTGTAAAAGCATCATTCTGTGCCAAGTTCTCAAGGTTTTTTTGCAAGAGTACAAGTGCCTGTCCCCCCTGTGTTCTCTGAAGAGCAGCAAGTCCGTGCTGGCACCCAGCTAAACGGGAGGGTGGTGCAGCCATGGAGTGACTGGAAGCACTTTGTTTAAATATATAATACAATATATAAACATACGTGCATCTAAATATATATTGCTTCAAAGGGAACGAGTCTGAATGGTGCTTAAATGGTTTAATTGCATGAGGAGTTTATTCTAACCTCCAGTTAAACACCCAGAGACACTGCTCTGCTTTTTACAGTTATCACAAGACTCGACAGGCTGCAGGAACTGTGTTATTTAACACGCTGGGTAGAAAGTGGACTTGGATAAACTCTTGGATCTTAGGTGAGGCTTTTAGCAAGTAGAAAAAAAAGAGTGAGAGCACCTTTCTAACATAAGATGCAGCATCCTCTTCTGTGTAGACTTCTGCACTGATGGCCCCACGCCGCCTTCGGCCCTTCACCACAGGGTTCATGGGAGGAGGAGGAGAGATCTCATCCTCCCGCGAGTCCGAGCGAGAGCCAGACTTCTGTTGGTTCAACAACTGTTTGGTTTCTTCCTAAACAGGAAGGAAGATGTGTGTGTGTGTGTGTCACATAATCCAGGAGAGCAAAGAAGCCACCACGTGTGGTATTCCCATTTAGGCTGGCAATGCACAGGAGCTTCCTGTGGACTGCTACTCCCACGTCAAGGCCAACGGGGGCTACAGCAACCCAGATCAAAGGCCTTTCAGAGCAGGTGCTAGAGAGGCCTTTCATTCATAATACCCATATCACAGTGGTGTTTATTTTAGTGTTACGTTAAGAGTTGAATAAATGAAGTATAAACAAGCTGGGTTTACTTTCCATTGGCATATCTGAGAGGCAATGGAGCCATTCTGCAAACGCTACAGATGTTTCCCCAGCTGTACAGCCTCTCCCTCAGCTGGGAGGTGCTAAACCTTTTTTGATTTGAAAGACAGAAGAGCAATTCCTCAGAAATCCATGTTACATGAGAAGCTTTTGAAACAAGGTCAAGTCATGGACCAACCTGATACTCAATAACCTACAGTTATTTTGGGAGAAAGAAATATGAACACCGCTTATAAAAGAGCTGGAGGAAGGATGCTAGAGGCCAAACACCAGTTTTTCCCCACAAACCACAGATTTGTCAGCTTTCATAGAATCATTAAGGCTGGAAAAGACTTCTAAGATCATCAAGTTCAGCCACCAACCCAACAGTACCATGACCACAGAACCATGTCCCCATGTGCCACGTCCACATGTTTTTTGAACCCCTCTAAGGATGGGGACTCCAGCACCTCCCTGGGCAGCCAGGAAAGAAATTCTTCCTCATATTCAATCAAATCCTCCTCTGGCACAACTTAACTAGTGATAGGACAAGAGGAAATGGGCTTATTTGGTAGAAGAGACCAGCACCCACATCACTACAACCTCCTTTCAGGGAGTTGTAGAGAGCAGTAAGTTACAATAACAACTTTGCATGATGTGACACATTTTCCTTATTTCTCTCTCAGTTCCCCTACAAAACTAGAGCACTTACAAAAAAAAATGAAGTCTAACTTGACACACAGAAATCTGAGTCTTCTCTGTACCAGAAAATTCACCTTAATCAACTAAAATCAGATTAAAAACAAAACAAAAAAAACAACCTCAGAGCCAGAGCATTCACGTCATAGGAGCTCAAATGGCTTCCCCAGCATTAAGGAAGCAGGGTTTTGGGACATGCCTGCAAAGAACAAGGAGTCATCTGTTCCCTGAGAGCTCCCAGCACTTCTCAAAGCTGGGTTTGTCCTGCTGTCCTTGAGCAGAGTGCCTGTGCCCAGCAGGGCTGCTCGCTGCCTGGCTGCCACGCTCCACCCCGGAGGTGCACAGGGGGCTCTGGGGGACACCCCCACTTTGAGGGCAGGGACATCAGATAACCACGACAGGGAGTTGACATTTCACCCCATTTGGGTAGCCACAGATCCAGCACTGAGCCATCAGATGACATTTCACTTCCTGCTTTTTGCCCGTTGATAAAATAGTGCCACATTTCAAAAGGATGGGAGCAAAACGTATTTAAAACCTTGTTTCTGTCTTCTGATTTTAGAGAGACTGAGTCTCAGCTGAGGGGAAGTTTAAAATAGCTTGAGGAGTAGTCAGTGTTTGGTTTAAACTGCCTCTCTACAAAGTGGGCAGTGCCACCAGCCACACAAACATGCTGCTCATCCATATACAGAGCATTTAACCCATATAAAAACTTGATGCTTTCTAAATAAGCAAACACCAGGTGCTGTAGTTTTTCCAGCATCACAGAAAACAGAAAATATCAAGACCCTCTAGCTTTCAGAGAGAGCACTTCAGCAGCATTTAGCCAGGGAGCTGTGCATCAAACCCTGTTTGCCAGGGTAATGGCCCACTCCAAGAACAAGGGAAGTGGCACTAACAGAAAAAAAAACCACAGCTGGTAACTTCTGCCAGCTCCAAAATGCATAAATCATACTAAAAAGGAGTGTGTTAAGGCAGGGCATGGACACAAACAAGTTACAGGTGGGTGAGATAATACACTAACTTAAAATATCCCCACCCCTCAAGAGGAGATTATCCCTGAATGAGACAAATCTCCACAGCCTGCAAGACAGCTCTGGGCCATGGGATAAGCAACGTGCTCAAACCTTCCTCTTATCACAGCAGCAGCTTGTCATGCATTCATCTTTTTAAAATACACCTTTTTTTTACCACCACATCAGGGAAAAATTACACCAGGGCCTGAAGAAGGAGTGGCAGTTGTTATCCTCAGTTACCTTAGAATTTAGTCAATGGTTATGAGTAAAGAAAATTTATTTCTTCATGTTGAGAAGCTCCTGCAGTCAGATACAGCATGGACAAAGGCACTCACTGTGCTCTGTACAGAGGAGTCTGACCATTACCAGGGTTACTAGTAAAGTCAGCATTACATCCCAGGGTTGATCCTGGCCTCTCAGTGTCAGTGACCACTAGCTGTAAATATTTTTCATGGCAAGAAGCAATTACTAAGTCCATTTAGCTTATTAAAAGTATGATGAAAGTGATGCAAGTTCACATACTCATCTATAAGTCTATCAGCTACTGAAGATCTTCACAATTCCAGAACTGTTTTACACTGTACAGCCTGGCACCTGGTGATTGCCATGACACCAGAAACAGTCTCAGCTTCCTCTGGCTCATTAATATTTTATTTATATCACCTCTCCACATATTTAAGAAAAAAGCAAGCACTCAGAAGCTAAAAAAGCAGGGTTAAAAGCTCTGCCATAATTACAACTGTGCAGTATATCCTTCTTAACTACCATGTTTTTCAAAAGAAACCCTTAGGAAAATATTCAGGACTGTATCTGTGGAGACAGGGCAGGTGTGGGGAACAGGTACCGTGGCCAGATGTCAGTCACACTTCCAAAATCCAGCTTTCTATAAAGCCTAAGCTGCCTTACACACAACATTTCAAACATGCACTTGCTCCAGTGGCCAGTTGAGTCCCATAGAATGACAGAATTCTATCATTCTTTGATTCTGTGATTTCAAACCTGCCCTTACTCCAGTGGACAGCTGTGTCCCACACACAAGCAGGTTGAAATCATGATCTCTACATCAATTTTCAGAGCTCAAACTCCACCATGGAGCCAAGCACAGCACTGGACAGCCACTGCTTTCTGGTAGGCATTGGTGACACCAGGCCTGTCTGCCCAGCAAAATGAACAGAGGCCTTAGAGCACAAAGAGATGAAATGACCACATTTATACAATCAATGTCTATTAGTGAAATGGATCTAACAGCTTTCCCAGCTCAGGAGAGGACATCTGAGTTCCCACAGCAGCTCCCACAGTCCCAGGGGCAGTAATTTTTAATGTTTCTGGACAGAAATGGGAAAGCATGTCTGAATGGCTTCAATATATTTGAATAACATGACAGTGAATCAGCCCCGTGTTTGCGTGCTGGGGAGGAGATGACTTGTCAGGATACCTAGAGAGAAAACAGCAACCTTGCTGCAGTTTGAAAGGGTGTGCCTTCAAAATTCAGACTTAAAAAAAAGCCAATTAAACCAAAAATCACTCCTGTCTCTTTCATTCAGCCCAGCAGATGAACAGCTTTAGAAAGCACACCGAAAAGTTGCTCTGCTTTACTGAAGCCATCACAGGCATTAATTCTTGAAGGTGAAGGAGATTCTGTTTCAGAGATTTTTCCCTCTGGTTACACTCTGACCCACCAGCTCACAGCCCGAGGTCACTCGGGAGAAAGCTGTGGCAATTTTTAAAGTCAAGAAGGCAAGAAAAAATGTTCCAGTTTCACTCGTGGCTCTAGCTGCACTACAGGCACGTAAAACCCCTGCCAACACAGCTCAGCAGAAATGACCCTGACCAAAATGGTAAGAGGAATTTCAGGGGAAAAAAAAACATTATCTAACCAGTTTTATTTTCAGCTTTCTTGTAGGCTGAGCGAGTACACAGAGAGCCTATCTGCACCAGAATAAAACTGAGTTGCTCAACTCCACAACACACGTGATTAAGTTCAGATCTATATTTGTTGTCTTGCTAAAAACAAATGAAGTTTCCTTTAATCTTAAATACTGCCTGTTGTCTGTGAGTCTGCTCCACAAAAGCATCCACACCTTCCTGGTTTATAGCCCTGTGTATGGATTGATTCACAATTTAGTCTAAGGGCAGTGACACAGTTTGCTCTGTAAAGTTTTGCAGATGAACACTTGTGGGGATATTTTAAAAATGATCAATCTATCAGGACTTAGAAACTCAGAATCCAAGGTGGGGAAGGATGCACGGTGAGGAAGATGATGGATTTTTAAGAACCTGATTACTATGTGGTTTGCTGCTGGTATTCTCTCCAAAAGAGAATGTACTTGAGATGCAAATATGTTAAAAAAGAAGTCAGACAGATTATAGAGTTCCTGTTCATTTAATGAGCAAAATGTTCTTCAAATATGTTGTGAGTATAGGAGGTTACTTTGCACCACTCAGTAATTTTCTAGTAACCTCCCTAGAACCCTTCCATTAAAAGACAATTTCCACTACACATATTTATAATCTCTAGTGTTAATTTCTTTTTTCTTTACATCAGCAATTAGTAACTAGCTAGAATTTAAAATCTACAAAATTCCCACATACAACAAGCACTGAAAGCAGCACCTGCAAACAACTGCTGCACAAGGTCACAGCCACACTATTCACTGGCTGTGGATTCTGAGTAGTTGTATCAAACCTTTCCTCTGCATTTGTCCTTAAACCTCCTGTTTTCACAGCAGCTTCTTCTCCCATCTGCTTAGATGACAACCTATGAACTGCACCCTTCCACAGAACGTGAGTTGCCCTTTCAAACACAACCCTGAGGTGACAAAACACTTTCCATTCCCAAGATCCCAGAATGCTTCCAACGAGACCATTAAAGAGACCTTAAGGACTAACAACAAAGCCAAAGAGCAGCACTGAACTCCCAGGAGAGGCAGGAACAGGCCTGCTCTCCTGGAGATTTGGAATGCAAATCCTTCCATCCGACTCTGGCTAGGCCTGGGTAACCACCACCAGCCAGCTACTTCTGTGTTGTCCCCAGACCACCATAAACCTTTTGTCTCAGTAGAAGAGAGCAAAAGCCTCTCACCAGTGTCTAACCAAGGCCCAAGGCCATAGTTACCATCTACCTGCAGACACGACCGTGGACACTACCGAACAGCTTTGATGAGGAGCATTAGAGGGGGATGACAGTGCCCCAGCTGGGCAAGGCTCCTCGTTGGCTTAGGACAGAGGTGCTTTGCCACCACCAGCAGCTGGCAGAAACCACTGGAAAACAGGATCTGTTTGCCAAAAGCATCCATCTTCATTTCAAACAGCCAACACACACGCTGGTCAGATCCGAAGCTCAGCCTCCGAATCACAAAGAGACGACGTAAAACTAGGTTGCTGCACTCTCCTCCCCCTCCCACGATGTATTTTTACCTTCTCCAATCTTTCAAAGTACTCTCTGAGGAATCCCATGGGTCTCTCGGGCCTGACGGTGCACAGCTGCACGATGCAATCCTTCAGAAGCTGCTGGATGTTGTGTTTTTGGACGTAAAGCTCACACTCCCGAAGGCTGCGCTCCTCCTCGCTGCTGCTGCTGCTGGAAGCTGCCATGGCTGAGGAGGAGAGACAGAAAAGGTTAATTAATTACTGGAAACAACAACACTGCTGCCCAAGATAGCCCAGGCACGTCATGCTACCTAAAAGACATTTAGCAGTAAAATAATGCAGCACATCACAGCTTAAAACTGTAAGGGTGAGGTTAGTCACTAAGCTTTTTCTTTTGTGGTTCACCTGGGAAGAAATGAAATAATCTGGGTGCTCTCCAGCCACAGGCAAAAAAAAGGAAAAGTGTTTAAGCTGGAAAAGCTTCAACAGCTCCAGCCCTGTGAGCACTCAAAAGCCAGGGAAGCTCCCACCCAGACTCTCTGCTGAGGACTGGAGGCTCCCCTCCCAGAGCAGCACGGCCTGTGTGGGGTCATGGGGATGACAACCAGGAGACAGGTGGGTGGAAACTGGGAATCTGAGAGGCTGCTATGAGAAGTATTAGGAAGTTGGAACATGTCATGGTCCAGGCCAAATGCCAAGGCAGAGTCCACTAACGGAAGTTATGGAATGAGGGGCATTATCCTGAAAAAGCTGCTCTCCAGTTTTTTTTGGAACGACCTCCGTGGATACACTGCAAACCCAAAAATATGTCCTGAAGCATAAATAATCAGCAGCACATCTTTAACCACATCTGTTAGGATGCCATGTTTTCAAGGCTTTAAAATTATAGTGGCAGCTGTAACATTGGCAAAAATGTTCTTAAGCAGGTTATCCCCCCTTTGAGGTGACAGAACCACTTATATATATCTATATTTAGTTTATTTTTATAAAGCAGCTAACACTTAGCTAAAGAAACAGGAAAGAATTCCTCTGGACATTTTTGATGACATATAAAGCAGTTTACCTGGTGCAGGGGCAACAGCTTATGAATATGCAGTGAGATGTGTTGATCCCAGGGTCAGCTTTTGAAAGGGAAAAAAATGGATTCAGACAAAACAACGTTGAGAAACAAGTCACTGAAGAGCCAAGCAGTGCAGCTGCATTATCCATTTTATCCTACGGAGGAAGTGGCTTGAGAAACAGAGGACACAGTGGACAGGCAACATCGTGCCCCCCCCAAATCATGCTCGGGGACGTTATGGGGGGACCGGAGCTGACAGGAAACCACCGACACTTCCAACAGGTTTCACTCTTGTCACGGTTAATCCCTGCCCAAGCCCGCAGGGACAGGTGTATTATGTGTTGCATAAACACCAAGCAGGGGCTCCTCGTGGGCCGAAAAAGTGCCTTAAAGTTCTCCAGTTACTTCCTTTGTTTTGACAACCCGCGCGGTGAAGGTCAGCGCCAATCGCCGGCCCCAGCGCAGGCCGGGGGCTCCCCGACGGCC